GGAGGAGGAAATGAAATGCCTCCTGCAACTCTTTGCAGGTCCCCCACTTTTAAATAATATAAATGCTGAATAAATAAGAGAACTATGGATGGCAAGGCCTGAGCCCAGCTGGACAACTAAATTTGAGCAAAATTTAAAAAGCATGAATTGACATAATAAAAGACTGATAAGGAAATAAAAAACTTTAGAAAAAAGAGGGTAAAGAAAACAAAAAACTTTAGACAAAGGAGGAGGAAATGATTAATAGAGTAAAATGTAGAGAAGCATCAAGATAAGTGACAACTGCTGAAAAATGATAACAGGAAAGAAAAATAGTAAAATGGAAGTAAGAAAATTTGCCAAATTAAAGGAATGAAAGCCAAAGAGATTGAAAAAATAGCATAGACACAACAGAGGAGGAAGAAGGGATAAACAAAATATGAATAAAGGTGTACAGTCATGGGGGGCGTGGCGGCTGAGCTTCCAGCTGGCTGCATCCCTTTCACACTCCCACTGAGGAATATCAAAATTGCTCTCAAAAAACAAAACTAATTTAGAAACAAACTTTAATGCCAGGTATGGGATGTTCTAGGGGGAAGAAGGGGGCAACCCCCCCACAGACCCCCTAGGAAGACTAATACAGACTTAGAAGACTTGGAAGACCAAGAGACGTTTCTGCCATAGGATATGGCGATGGGAGGAAGCAATTCTGACCCAAGTTACCAGACCATGATTCTGCATGCTTTGACAGAGATAAAAGATGAACTTTAAAATGAAATAAAGACTCTGAGCAGGGATGTCGGACAATTGAAAAAGAATTTGGCCTGCTCAAACAATAGAGATAAATGAGAAACTTGATGAACTCACCACAACAATGAGGACGACGGAGAGGGAAAGCTAACGCAGCGTACCAGAGTGCAAAGAAAACAACAGACAAAATGAAGGAGGTAAAGGATTTTGAGGCTTGGGCCAAAAATAAAATCATACTCCAAGAGATTAAACTAAGAGAAAGGAAGGCCAAACTCTGTGGGGTCTCATTAAACTTTTCAAAAACCGAAGATCTCACTGCATCTTTAAATAAATGGCTGTGGCAGATACTTCACTCAGCAGGGGAATCAAAGACCTCCAAAAGAATCATCACCTCTGCCTTCCATTTAAACATATTGAAAAGAGCTGAAGATGCATCCTGATTAAATTCATGGAGGTACAGATCAAAAATAAACTTTTTTAAAATTGCGAGAGAAAAAGAGGGTCTCTGCCTTGAAGACACGATTGTTTTTCTATTTGCCGATGTCCCAGCTGAGATACTTCTCGCGAGAAGGAAGCTTCAAGATACAGCAAAGACACTGAGAGAACATGGAATTCAATACAGATGGCTTGCAATAGGCCACCTAGTGGTCAACTTAAATGGCAAAACTTTCACAGCACACAACGAGAATACTGGGAAGAAGCTACTGGAAGCAGTGATTAAACAAAGAGATGGAGACATTTGAAAGGAGATAGTTTGTTTAGGCAAACAGTATAATATATCATGTTGAGTGCAATTTAATGAGTATAAGAAGGGAATTTAGAACTATATCTTAAGCGGCAACTATTCAGTGATAGTATATAAAGTGATAACCGATATAGAAGTAAAATTGTTTTAGCTAGAGGGCATGGTAAGGAGGTGGAGGGTGTGCTCCCCCCAAGACCTCTGCTGTAGGGGTTTCCTCTTCAGCCCCCAGTATCAGAGGCAACCCCATCCAGCTTTCCTTCTTAGGTATAGAAGAAGATAGAATAATTGAGACTGAGCATATAGAACAGACGTTAGAAGAATGAGTAACAAATTATCAAAGAATTAAAGGATGTATTAATGGTCAGAGCATGATTTAGAGGGAGTTGTACAGGTGGTTTTATATGTGGGTAGGATATGGGAATAAGAAAATGAAGAGGATAGAAACTGGATCTGGATTAAGTTTAATTTGTTGGTTATACAGATGGAATGTAACCTCATTTTTGTTTAAATTATTAAATGGAGTATAATATATAAGGGTATGAAATACTTTTATGAAATATGAAATATATACTCAATAAAATATAATTTAAAAAAAGATGTACCGCCACTTTGCAGAATGAACCCATGAGTGAAGGAGGCATGCCTGAGCCAGGGCTCTTTTTGTAGAAAAAGCCCAGCAGGAACTCATTAGCATAACAGGCCACACCCAACAGCAGAAACTCATTAGCATATTAGGCCCCACACACCCTGACAGCACAGCTCATTAGTACATTAGGCTGCACCCCCATGTTACCAGAAGTGTGGTCATCCAGCCACACCCACCTTTTGCTTCTTATTCTGTTTACCTTGTTTGTTGTCAAAACACAGGGCTTTTTTTGTAGCAGGAACTCCTTTGCATGTTAGGCCACACACCCCGAATGTAGCCAATCCTAATTAGTTTCTGCTGTTGGGTGTGGCCTATTATGCTAATGAGTTCCTGTTGGGCGTGGCCAACTCGGGAGCCAGCCGGAACTCCATTCCTGTGCGTTCCTGCCCAAAAATAGCCCTGCTGAGGACTAAATAAAGAAAAGAACAATAAGAATGGAAAATAAAGGAGCATACAAATTAAGATTAGATGATAAATTAACATGAAGTAAAGACACAGTAGCATCAAGAGTGGATAATGAAGGAGCAACATACACAAGAGAAATCACAGAAAAAAATGGCAGACTGAAAATTAGACAACAATTAAAACAGTAAATAAAGTAACAGTCAAAAAATGAATGAAATAAAAAGGTAATCAGAGGGAAGACAGAAAGTATTGGGAAAAACAAGAATATAACAGGATAGTTAAACATGTGAACGGCCTAATCAAAGGCAGCAATTTAAAAAAGGCAAATAAATGAAGTAAAGCAAAAACCTGAAGTGCATCATGCTCAGATGTTTTATCAATATGTAAATTCAGATAACCAACATTGCAAGAGGAAGCCAAAACAGATAAGCACTAAACGTCAGAATCAACATTGCCTTGCCAAGTGTTTGTCTCTGCATGCTGAAACAGTCACAAGATCTAGTTACCATAGTAATCCACTTTTCCTTTACAATTTCAAAAATGGCGTCATGTTGAAAGCCATAATTTTTGGTTTAATAGAAACCCAATTTTTCTTCTTTATATACCAGTGTAGTTTTTGGGAGACATTAATTGCAAAGCCATTAAAATTTAAATAGATAGCTTTTAAGAAAAGAAATGTTATGAAACTTGTTCAAAGCTTCTCTTATCTTCTACTTGTGGAAAGGTAAAACCTCACTTTTATTTTTATACCTTGGTTGCCTTTTTCATGTTGACAAACAGGTCCGATACTGTGGTATCTTGAGGCTTTATTACTACTGAATCTGACTTTTAGAAAGGAAAACTTTGGCTAAATTGTTTTATGTATCATTTGTACTCGGTTGCAGAAAGCAATGTGCTGTTACTATGCTGCTTGATTTCCATTGTTTGCTTCTCATACAGTGGGTAGTGATTGATGACTTTGCTGAGTACATCATAACATAGCTCTGATCTCCTCTTCAAACAATGTTTCCTCTTGCTCTATCTTCTGTCACATTGTTTAGTTGATTTATAGTTAAGATTATTCCAAATGCAGACCCACAAAACATTGAAATATAACCAAAGTTAAGCGGTAGTATTAGAATGAAAATATGTTTCTACATATGACACTGTGGTTTATTCTTAGTATTGTTGGACAGCTAACATGCAGTTTTACAATTTTCAGTATTTCAGTCCCAGACAACTTATTAAGTAAGTAATTGAAGAGACAAAATGGTGCAGAAGAATAATAATCTTTAATAGTATTCAACCCCTACACATTTCGTGGGAAGTTTTGTCTGGGGGAATCTACTGAAATAATACAAAATATAAAATATATTTAATACATAATTTCAAAAGTTAATAAAACATATTAGTAAAGAGCCAGGTCAAGCCTAGACAGCTTGTTCTGCTTCAGTGTATATATGGGAACGGAACTAAAAAGAATCTGGAAGGTCAGTATGGCTCTTTAATGTTTATTCACAAACAATTTAACTGAAGAATTCCTTGTGATTAAGTAATATGTAGTGTATGTTAATGCGGTTTCAGTTGTCTAAATATTAACAATTCATTATGAATTGCATTCTGTATCTACTCTGTGAAATTGTCCTGTGTTTTACTAATACGTTTAAGTAACTTTTGAAATGATGTATTAAATATATTGTTATATTTTGTATTATTTTGGTAGATTTCCCCTGACAAAGCTGCATGTGAAACATGTAGGGGTTGTATGATTAATAAAGATTCTTTTTCTTCTGCACCATTTTGTTTCTTCATCTATGTTTTGTCTTGGTATGCCCCCCTTCTTCATAGCTTTTTAAGCCAATAATGTTCATAGTTATTCAGTATTTTGCTGCTGGAACACTGGATTATATAGATTTTTCCATAAATCCAAATTTTGAGAATGGTTCTAATGAGAAGAGTATATGTGTAAAACGGCTTGGTGCTTGTGGGGGGGGGGGCAACAGTGGGAGGGATTCTAGTGTCCTGACCCCACTGCTGGACCTCCTGTTGGCACCTGGTATTTTTGGCCACTGTGTGACAGAGTGTTGGACTGGATGGGCCATTGGCCTGATCCAACATTGGCTTCTCTTATGTTCTTATGCACTGACAACATGCATACCAACAATACAGCATTGTGTAAGTTTGCAGGTGAGCACTAAGCAAACTAACAGCACTGTATTATGTATGGACAATGTAAACCGCTAGTGGCTGAAACTATGGTTGCTGCCAAAGAGTCCATAATGAATACTTCAACCAATCCACGGTGTGATGCTTCCAGGATAGAATCTTTGAAAGAGTTACTTTGGCCATCTGTTTCCACTGTATGCTTGAATGCTCAATGTGACATTCATACTAGGAGACAGATGATGACTTCTGGATTTAGTAATACTCTACATCTAAATTACCAGTCCATGCTCAAGTTCATTCACTAAAGTTTGTTTTCTTTTCCTATACCAGGCTGTCCTCTCTCATAAGGCTGTGGCAGACTGTGCAGTTGTTGGTCATGAGGATTCCTTGAAGGGCCATGTGCCATTAGCATTATGTGTTCTAAGAAATGGTGAGAAATCCTGTTTCCTTAGGCTTATTTGAACCCTGGGTTATTTTCACTTTTATATCCTACCTCATATATGGGTCTTAGACCAGGTAACAAAATTGTAACAATGAAATAAAATTATAATATACTCACATTCCTTATCAGATGTGACTACTGAAGAAGAAACACTTAAGGAAGAAATCGTTCAGAGAGTTAGAGAAAATATTGGTCCAGTGGCAGCATTCCGGAAAGTGCTATTTGTGAAACAGATCCCAAAGACACGTTCTGGCAAGATACCACGGTCGGCTCTTTTTTCCCTTGTGAATGGCAAGGCATACCAGGTGAACAGCAGCTCTTCTTTTAATATGGTGATACATGTGATACCATGACATACATGCAACAAAAAGTCTTTATACAGTATACTAAGAAATTTCCTAATCTTATGCCCTACTTATAAATTTACACAAAACTACTGCAGGGTGTGGAATGGCATTGATATGGCCTTACTGTGTGGAACAGGCCAATCCTGTTCTGCTGTGCCTTCCATCTACAATCTGTATCTCTAACAGCAATGTGTGCTTCTCATCTATGGGTACCTGGGGCTACAATTACACTAAACAGATTTTCCTGCAAACTTGGGGGACTCCCCAGGTTTGCAGAAAAATCTGAAATTATAAATAAAACATATGGGGATTTAAATCCACCTCCAGAATACAGTTGTGTTGTCTGTGCATGTACAGACAACTCACTTACCTTGGCAGAGATGGTGGTGGAGGTTGCCAGGAACCGCTCTGGGCCTGGCTGTGGTGATGGCATCAGGAGACGCTCTGGGTTTGAAGCTGTTCCCAAGCACTGCTGCTGGACTCAAAAGTGGGTGGTGGGGCCTGGAGCTGCACCAAGGTTGTTGATGGGTGGGGAGATGGGATTTCCCCCCTCCCCACAGTCCTGCTGCTGCCACAGCCGCCATGGTTTTCAAGGTAGGGGAAAAGATGTTGGGGATTGTCTAGAGGAAAAGAAAGAAGGAGGGATTCTCTGAAGGAGGGGGGAGAAAAACAGGAAGAAGATGGGGGAGAAAATAGAAGAGAGAGAAACAAGGGGCAGATTGAGAAGGAGGGACATTGAGAAGGGCTGGTAGGAGAGTGGGGAGATTAACACACAAGAGGTGAAGGGAGAAAGGGGAGTAAGAGAGGATTGTGAGAGAAGGGGGTGGGGGAGAAAGAGGGGAAGACTGACATAGAAAGGGTGAGGAGAAGTGGGTGAGGAAGATTGATAGGTAAGGGATGAAGGGAAAAATAGTGATGAGGGACTTTGACAGAGAAGGGGGAGAGGGAAGGAAGCAAAGGCGGGGAATGCCTCCTCCCCATGTTTCTTGCGGGTTGCCACTTGTAGCACTATAATAATTTCCAATATGGATCACTTAGTTTTACTGAACAACTCTGGAGGTCCAAGGGCCTTTAGGGTGCTGACATATCCTCACTCTTCCTCTCTCATATCCTGTTTTTGTCACATTATCTCCACCCATTTCTGTACTAACGAACTGTATTCTAATATGGCACATTTGATAGTGGATGTTTCCAGTAAGGTGTCAGGCTACATCTGTTAATCTTTCTCTTAGCCCAGTGCAACAACACAGTAGCCATGAAGTTCCTACTTTCTCTGGGCAAATAGTAACTTGTAAATGATTTTAACAAAAACTAGGCAAAAGAAATGTAATGGAAATAAAGCATCTTGATTCATTCATCTTAATTTTTCAGATAAGTCCAACCATTGAGGACCCTGCTGCATTTCAACATGTGGAAGATGCCCTGAAGACAAAGTTAAAGTGAATGTTTAATGCTATTAAGATATCAGTAATACCTGGAATACATTTCATTTAGTTATGCTGGGAACAAAATCTAAACATTTTGGACTAATTTTTTCTGTGTAAGTGTTGCTCAGTCCTACACTACCGTGGGCAATCAAATAAGCAACAATACGAGTTTGGTGATGTAATTTTTATTGATGAATGTTCAGATTTGTCAATAAAAATCACATCAGGGGATTCACATAGCTATTAAAATAATAGTGTAAATTGTGAAGTGTTTGAAATGGACTTGGCGTTCCTAACCTATAATACTTGGGAACCAATGATAATGAAAGTGTTAGCCAGGATACAAATGAGTGGTCTGTTCTAAGTAACTCAAGTATCACATGAGGTAGTAGAAAAACCAAAACCAGATGCCCCTATAGCCATTATTATTATGACATCAGAATTAAGGTTTAAAAAATTATAAACAGTAGCTTATGTTATAGGAACTAAAAAACACTTTATATAAACTGTCTCGAATAACCCTTACAGCCTTTTGTCTTCCCTTTAGTTTGTTTTCATATTGATAGAAACAAGGTGTCAAGGGTCAGTTGGTGCCCACCCCCATCCCTCAGACTATGAATCTGCCACTGCTGAGCAGTAACCACTGTGGCTTGCTACCTTCCATATGGCGGCCACATCAAGATCAGGCCCTTTCACAGCCCACCCTGCCTTAGTTCCATATAGAACTGATAGGTGGTATTTACTCACCATCGTTCTGAATATGCTATTATGCTTTCCTTCTCGGGGAGGGGGCAGGCTGCTTCCCCCTAATTACTTGTTGGCTTGCCTGGAGGGAGCAGCTGAATGTTCCCTCTCTGCCTTAATGCAGTTGGGGCAGATGGGGGTGAAGAAGAATAAACTGCTCTTATCCATGGCTCCCTAAAACCCGGAAGTGACCCCTCTTTATCACTTTTCAATAAATAAATTATCTCAAAATACTTCAACATTGTGCTACACAATACTAATGTCACTGGGTGGAAATTAGGACATTTTTAAACAAATAAAATGTTGCTGTGATGGGAACTGTGGCATGAATTGATCCGTTTTACTTTACACTTTCGTAACCTACTACCATAATACAATTTTTTTGCTATTACTCCCTCCCTCCCACCTTCATAAGATTTTGATAACTGTTACACAATTGTACTCTGTGGTCAAGTTTTCCTGGCAAGGCATACATGCTACTAAATTTGAAATATTGTCCTAGGTAGAAGTAATTGATGTTCATTTCCCTTCTTTATATGCTTTTCTAACTCTGCTTCCTGGACTTATGAAAAAGCTCTCCTGCGAATCACTCACTCTTTCTATTTATGTCCAGCTCAGCCTGAACAGCATTCACAGCCCCTTCCTTTTTATAAAGAGAACTCTGGTATGGTATCTTAAAAATATGCATGCTAGAAGGGTGATGGTGGGCAATGTTCTCTCTAAGCTCCACAGTCTTGTGAGCAGAAATTCTACCTTGTGAGTGAAAAAAGCTAGTAGCATTAAAGTTGTGAGCAAGTCTACATTTGACTATTGCGTAAATTAGTTTTTTAGAAGATTATTTCCATAACCTTGTAAACATTTCAGAATGAATTCTTTTAAACTATACGTAAACCATATTTAAAGAATAATTTAAACATTATAAGAGAAAAGAGAATAAAGTCAAATTTCATTACACAAAATGTTGTTCTCTAGAGGACCTGTTCACCTCTGGAGAACAGGTCTGCTCACCCCTTTCTACTATATTGGTAGACCTGGCCTCCAGGGAACAGGTCTACCCACCCAGTCCACTATATTGGTAGACCTGGCCTTGGACCATTGTTCTGCACTGACCCGTAAAAAACAAAGCAGCAAGGGTGGGAGCTCTTGCAGTCTGCTTTGAAGGGTTTTTTTTGTGAAATATGACAACCAGCATTACAGATCAAGTATAACAGACGTGGAACAATCACTGTCAGAATGCTGCCTGACCTAACAAACAGGAAGTTACTTAAATGTTATCAACCTGCCCAAACTACTTATTTATTCAAATACTTATATCCCACTTTTCCCTGTGATTCAAGGCAGCTTACAAATCATACTGAAGGATAAATAGGGGTGTGCAATAAATAAATAAATAAATCATTTTTCCCTGGCTCAATTATAGCCTATGGGGACCGTTAAAGTCAACGGACCCCATAAGGCTATAATGGAGAATCGATGCAGGGATATCTGGGGCTCTGGGAGGCTGTTTTTTGAGATAGAGGCACCAAATTTGCGGCAAAGTTTCAAAAAGACTGGACCAGAGTGTCCAATTCTATAAGCCCCAGAAGGAAGTGCCCCCTTCCTTATTGTTTTCCTATGGAAGCTTGGTTGTGAGCTGAAGCAGAAATCCTCTGAGCTGGCCTCTGAAATGTTGTGCACCAGAACCCCTAGCGCAGCTTAGAGGGAACTGTGATGGTGGAAGGGTGCCGTAAAATTCAAGCATTTCGATACTAAAAATAAACCTTCTCTGAAAAAACACATTGCTAGGTCCAGCTGTATACCTTTTCAAAATACATTAAGTTTTTTCAAACTCAGTCTAGAGGAGTGGTTTGCAAGTTGACTTTTATCTGTGCTGTTGATCAGGCTTCAGCCCAGTGACTTAGTAATCAGTGCAGCAAAATAGTATCTTGGTGCACTAGAGGTCTTTTGTTATATAAAGCAGAAAGTTCAGTGCACCATCTTGTGGAAGACTGCATTATTGTTTTCAGATCTCATTCTGGTTAATTGTCAATAGAAAATGTTCTATTTATATTTGTCCCTGAAGCCTGACGTCAATCCCTAACTAAAGCTATGACACATGCAGCCTGATCACACACTGAACACATAGACAGCACTGAGTTTCTTTTATTGACAGCAGGGGAGAGAAAAATCTGTCACCATTTGGTTAAGTGAAGTCTGGTAAATAAAAGTATGCAATAAAACAAATGTACGTGCAAGATGTTCGCAGATCAGCCTGCTGAAAGGAATAACCAAAAGACAGGTCTTAAGCTAAAATCAGGCAGCAGGAGATAAGCAAATAGCAGGTAAATGACAGTATTAAATAGGTCTTACTTTGAAACTTCCCATATAAACAAAGAATAAACATCAATAACACCACCAAATAAAGCCACAGCAGGTAATAGTTTCTCCTCTAAACTTTTTTACACTGTATATTACTTTTCTGTCTTTCAGTTACTTCCTCTGATAAAGTGACTTCAGTGAAGTCTCAGCAAGGCCATCTTGGATAAAAGTGTAATGTTAGACAGACAGCTGTCTAATACCCTATGATAGTGACAAAATAGTGACATTTTTATACAACTGAAAGCTTGAAGATCAGAATTATTTTTTTCCTTTCATGGTTTTTTTGTTTGTATGTTTGGTTTGGTTTGTTTGTTTGACTCTGATGTTGGCTGGCATTAATAGAAATCTGAAGGAAAAAAGATTCCTAGCAAAGAAAGTTTCTTCTTGGTCCATGAATAGCCATGAGGAGAATGTCTTTGTTAATTTCCTGTAATTGCTTTTGACACTTGCAACAGTTTTTTTTTGTTCATGTCGATTTTAAAAAGGAGAGCCATCACAGTGCTTTTCTACAAGATTATGTATAACAATTCTGATATTGCCTCAGCAGGTCCATTTTTTTGGCTCCAGTTCCACATTTAAATAATTCTATTGGAAATAATCAGAGGCAGGTGTTGAGCTTTAAATATCGACAGAATTTTTTTTTAGAAAAGTAGGAACATGTTGAAGCATCTAATAACTCTGCTAAACATATCCAATTGACGGTTACAATTCAAAACTGTAAAAATGGTGGAATGGAAAGATACAAACAGTAAGTAGAATTGACACTGTATTTTCAAGTGTTTGCACTAAGACCCCATGTACCATAGATTTAATTTGTTTAAAAAATCATATTTATATTCATTTACATGAGATTACACATATTAAAAGAAATACATACACAGTAAATATGTAAATTCTATTATATTACAATAAAACAGATGAAAACAAGTTTAAAAATGAGTGTCTTCATTTCATTTCGGTCAGATTCCTGATGAAAGATATGTTGGGGTTTATTTTTAAAAATTATTTAGTAACTATTTTATTGAAATATCCAGACGATTCAATCTGTCTAGTACTATTGCTGCACATTCTTCATTAATTTCAGTGAGATTTGTGTCCACATCCTATGTAAACTGTTGAAATAAATGAGAGTTGCATGGCAATAGTACTTGACAGGCTGCACCTTAACAACTTAATGTGTAAAAAGATTGCCACACATTTTTATCTGATAAACATTTATTTATGATTTCTTCACTGTTTACCCTGTTCTTGAATAAAAAGCTTCTTAAGATGGCGGTAGTGCACTTCAGGTAAAGTAGAAGAAAGAGGTGACATCTACAGATGGGAAAAACAGTAAAATTAGTAACAAGCTTCTTAGCAATATTCCTTTATGTAGGGTCATTTCTCTAAAGACTACCAATGGCTGATAATGAGCTTCCAGTGGGATGGCTGGCTGGACATGAGAATGGGCAGTGGCACTAGTGGAAGAGCAGGAGAAAAGACACAATGGTAGCATTCTGTCTTCGTACCTCAGAACATTTAGCAATCTTAAGCCATCAATTTTGCAACCTACCATGCAAATGCCATTTACTTTACAAAGTTGATACTATTTGTTAGAAAACAGCAACCTTAGCTGACATTAGCTATCATAATAATTGTTCACTTAAAGTAAGAGTCTAAGTAAGGGTGTTGATACATTAATAGTGCAATCCTAACTCAGCCAACAGCCTTCTAATCCCATTGACTTCAGTGGACTCAGAAGGGTGAAATTCTGCTTAGGAGTGACACTGTAAATATCCCACATGGGGAAAAAATACAGATAAGCAATTGAAAATAACACCAAAGAAGATATTTCTTAGGGTGAAAGTTCACATTATTGTAATTATTGTAATTAATACTTTTTATAACCCATTACTTTATTGGGTTTATAAAGAT